CAACCTAGAACTGCTCCTCCTTCGAAATCATACATTTATCTATGACCACAATCTTCTATCAGTTTTCCCCCAATTGTCAAGATATCTGAATAAACTGCTAAATCCTTACCAGTTCCTCTCCAGCTTGGATTTCAAGGTCCAATATGTCAACCATTCTCCTGCCAACTTTACTGTAATTCTTCCACCTGGCAAGACCTCAACTCTGGATGACTCTAGATGTCTATCTTCTCTGCAGCTATATCCAGGTTGATTTGTACCAAGGGTCCAAAACTTCTGTAAAGGGTCGGATGGTAAATATCATAGGCTTTGGGGACCACCTACTCAATGCTGCCACTGCAGTGTGAAAGCAACTGCATATAAACGAGTGACAATGTCTGTATTCCAATAAAATGTTATTTACAAAACTAGGCTGTGTGTCAGACTTGGCCTGAAGAACAGACATGGCTTGGGGGCTGTAGTTTGCAGACCCTTGCTCTATCCAAATGAACAAATCTTGTAAATGAACAAATCTTGTAATTGGGTCAACTGGTGCTACTATAAAAGATTATTCCCTCAACCCGGGCCTTTAGTATTGACCGTTGGTCCTACTATATTCAAAAGTACTCTCTGTGCAGTACTACACAGCTATTCCCCTTTTCCACAAACATGCCCACTCAGTTTTAACAAATGATCTGATCTTTTACGTCAAAGAGAACATAAGCAACCCAATGAGAATTCTTGCAATGTTTTACCAACAACCCTACAACTCATCTGCTTCAATTTATCCTTTTCACTCCTTTTATCATAGAAAAAAGAAGCTCTGGTGGTACAGTGGTTAAGGTAGTTAGTTGGCTGTTGACCTAAAAAAAGTTGGTGATTTGGACCTACCAGCTGCTCTACAGGAGAAAGATGAGGCAGTCTGCTTTTGTAAAGATTTATAGCCTTGAGAACCCTATGGGGCAATTCTACTCTCTCCTATAGTTGGAACTATATATGGACTCGATGGCAGTGGGTTTATCATAGAAAAATGATCCCTCCTTATATTTAATCTCCTTACTTGTGTTCAGGTCTCCGTCAGCACAGTCAGAAATCTCACCCTATAGATTGTCTCTCCTATCTCTTGTGTATCTTTTCTATACACATTAAAAAATGGTCAGGTCTCTTTCATCTTAATTAACAGCACCCTCTGCCCACAAGAGAAAAACAAAAAACTTTTCATGCTGTATTCCTTCCAGCTCATTTTTCTTCTTCAAATCCAAATCTGGCTATCTTTAATTCCTTATCTTTCATGTGTTCCTCAACTGACTCCAATCTTATTTTTAACTCCTTTACTCCACTCACAGGAGATCTGGTAGCGTAGTGCCTAAGGCATCTGACTGCTAACCAGAAGGCTAACGGTTCAAACCCACCAGCCACTCCTTGGAAGGAAGACTGGACAATCTACTTCCATATTGATATCACCTTGAAAACCCAAGGAGGGGTCACTATGAGTCAGATCCAGTCAAGGCAAGGAATCCATTCATGGGGGCTTTGGTGGCACAGTGGTTAAGCAT